TTTGAAAACAATCTGTCCAGCCATTTTCTTGAAAACAATCATTGAAAATTTTACACAAAAATGTTTTTACAGAGTTGAGGCGAGTTTTGAGCTTCCTTTCAAAAGTCATTTTGTAGAGAAATGATAGACTTTTTTATTAGTTTAAGCCGCAACAAATTTGGTAAAGAATTCTTTTTCATGGAAACAAAAGTTTGAAAAAAACTTGTAAAGATTTATGCACCAATCTAACATATCAGTTCACAACTCTAACAGTCAATTCAGGAAATTCATTACCGTGGTGAACAAAAGCCATTAGGCCGTAATCGTCATTTCGTGATCAGAGCCAATGTGATGTTCTCAACGAGTCGTGGCACTTTCCAAATCGGATCCACTCCAAATTATCCGCCACAATGCTTTCATTTATTTCAACAAAATGAGCAATATGGGTATCGAATTGAGAAAAAAAGAAAAGAAGAGAGAAGAAAAGAAAGAAAGAATCTTTTAGAAGAAAAGAAACTTTTAGAAGAAAAAGAAACTCACAAAAAGAAACTTTTAGAAGATCATCCGCGGAAATTAGTTTTTATGAGATGAAGATTGAATCGCTTCCATTCGTTTTACAAAAGAATGCTTGTAAGCAACTCTTTGATCATTATCATGATGTTGCATGGAAAGCTTATAATGATTTTCTCACTCCAGGAAAGTACAAGGTAATCTTTGAGTTTTAAATTTTGAATTTTTAAACTTTCAATTGTTAAATTTAGCCTGGGAAAGAAGAAAAAGAAAAACCAAAAGTGAAAGGAAAAAAGAGAAAATCGAAGGAAGAGATGCCAAATTCATGGATGAATCTTCCGGAAACTTACAATGAGGCAAAAATCCCATTGAGGGCAGCATTGGAATGGTTGGGTGGAATTGTTCCATCATTGGTATGTGAGAATAGCTAAAAATAAAGCCTTTCCACGCACTTTCAGAACTCGAAATGGTGCCGAAGCTGTGATTTGAAAGAGATCAGTCATCTCCGTCGATTGATTCTTTTTCAAAAAGTTTGTCGAATCGCATTTGGGCGGAAAGAAGACTGGGAAAAGGTGAAGATCTAAATGATTTTAAATTTAAATACCAAAGATAAGCTCTTAATTTTAGTCGGCGATACAATTGGAGAAGGATCTCTTCGATCAAGTTGTCACAAAGCAATTCGGTAAGGGGAAAGTCGAGATGATCGATAAGATATCGAGGATCGAGACTCAAATAGGATGCGGCAAAAGGACGCATCCTGATTACAGGATGCGGCAAAAGGACACATCTTGATTATACGATGCGGCAAAAGGACGCATCCTGATTATAGGATGCGGCAAAAGGACACATCCTGATTACAGGATACGGCAAAAGGACGCATTCTGATTACAGGATGCGGCAAAAGTTTGGAGCCGCTTCTTAAGATAGTCAAAGATTTTTAGAAACTAGCTTTAAAAAGTCAAAAATTAAAAACAAATCCTTTATTCAAACCATAACAACAAATAACTTATAACAAATGCTCGAAATTTCCACCATCCGCTTCGATACACCTCTTTAAACGCTTTGGGAAGTTCCTTACAATGGTGGCGCACTCTTGAACAGTTATTTAATCCCAGGCTCGTTTCAGAGAAGCTTTTAAAGCATTCATTGCTTAAAGATTAAAGATTAAAGCAGGATTAAAGCGTTTGATACGTCTTCATCGAGAACTTGTCTTCCAAAATAGCCCAAACGGGTTTTCTGTAATGTTTTCGTATGGCTTTTCGTAGCGGCTCAAAACTTTTGCCGCACCCTGATATTTTTGATCTGACTTGATCTTTTGTAGAGCGCAAAAAACAGAGCGTTTGGGCATTGGCGATGCAAGATAAACTAATGGATCCACTCGCACCGAACGCCGAAAACATTGTGATGGTGGAAAAGGAGGATTTGAATGGATCACGATATGTAAATTGAATCTTAGAGACTTTGAGTCTTGGGAATGATTTCAGGCTGTTGGCAATGATTTCATGATTGTAAATGCAGATGGATCATTTGGAAAATTCATCTACCTTTCTAAACCGGCTCCAACTTTGTTCAAGGTATCTTGTTACTGTAATGAGGTAAATTTTCAAAATTTCAGTGGTTATTGGATGCGGGAAGAGCAATCGAAGACCAAAATTTTGAACTTGGAGTTAAAGAGGCAGCGGTGGGGAAATCAACAGTGGCAATGTTCAATGAAAAGTTCGTGTAAAGTAGAAAACGAAGAGCTGAATCTTAGACAAGTTTATTTATTTTAGATTCATCACTCTTCGTTCAAAGAGACGATGTGAGAAAATTGCTAGAGATTATAGGTAAAATTTGACTAATTGATGAGCAAAATATTAAGTTGGTCAAAACTGCGGCGCTTTGAACTAAAATTTATTGAACATAAAACCATAAATTCATTCCAAATAATTTCCATTATTATTGACGACTTCTGCCCATTTTACAGGCAATTTGCGGATTCCTCTTTCGTAGTAGGATTTTGGTTTTGAATCGAAAAACTTTCAAAGCCAATTTTTGACTGTTTCTTCCGAATCGAAGTGTTCTCCCGCAAGCTCATGATCCGGAATAAATAGTAATCAAAAGGGGCGAGATTCGGACTGTATGGGGAATGCACCAAAAGTTCCCAAACAAGGTTATTTATTTTAAAGCGACTCAGTTTTGCAACATGAGGGCGCGCGTTGTCGTGGATGAGAACTTTGACTTGGAGGCCTATTCTTCTTCAGGGATTCATTCACCTTTCCCAACTGTTCACTGTATTTGATTGCATTAACGGTCGTCATTAACGGCATTAACGGCCCATTTTAAAGGCAATTTGCGGATTCCTCTTTCGTTGTAGGATTTTGGTTTGTGTGTGAGACAAGTGTGAGACTCAAAAATGGAGGACTGGGGATGTCCCAGTTTGAGCACTTTCTTCAAAAGAAACCCATTTTGGTGTCAATGAAAAAGTTGTAGAGAATCAAAAATTAGGCTTATAGCCAAATTTTCGAAAAGATACACTTAGTAGTTTCCCTTAAAATGCAAGTTTTGGAGAACTGTTGGTTGGTTGTTGGTTGAATTTTAACGAAAATCTTCAAAGAGACTACAAGATTCGAAATTAAATAGACTTGAGCTACAGTACGCTCCAATCTTGTTTAATTTTCAGTTTAGTTTAACGTAGTTAAGGCTTTCTTGTAGTCTTTGTACTTGTCGTTAAATCTCCCTCCACATCATCTCTGGTATTCTCCACTTCTTGAGCCGTTTACCCGATTTGTTTCATGAGTTTCTTGCTGCCCCTGCGGACCGAAATCCTTGGGATGAATCCAAAAATTCACAGCGGCTCCCTTCAGCACCCTTTTACAGGCACTTGGGATCCCATCTCGACCGACGAAGAACTCGCCATAGTGGTCAAAATGAGCCGGAATTGGGTTTGCCAATTCTACAGCCGAAGTTAGTTTTGGGAAGCGGTGACCACATGGGGCAGACAACGGATTGGTTACCGGATGACCCAAAATGGACGCTTCCGATTTCAGGGGAAAAGGGAACTATATGTGGAAACATAGGATGCTAGAACGAGCGCGATTGTGCTTGCGCGCAGAGAACAACCAGGCAATCTTCTTTGTTGCATTTTAAAGTTCAAAAACTTCAAATTTTTGAAAAGAAAAATTGAACCCGAGGTTTTCGGGGTTGAGGAATCGAGACAAGTGAGACAAGTGTGAGACTTAAAAATGGAGGACTGGAGATGTCCCAGTTTGAGCACTTTCTTCAAAAGAAACCCATTTTGGTGTCAATAGAAAAGTTGTAGAGAATCAAAAATTAGGCTTATAGCCAAATATTCAAAAAGATACACTTAGTAGTTTCGCTTAAAATGCAAGCTTTGTGAAAATTCATAAATTTGGCATTTCTTGAAAACCAGTTTTTGAATCGTTCTGAAAATTTGGATATAAGCTTGATTTTTGATTCTCTACAACTTTTCCATTGACACCAAAATGGGTTTCTTTTGAAGAAAGTGCTCAAACTGTCACATATGACAATAGCCCGCAGTTTTCAATTCACCAACCCAATATTAAGTAAGTTATATCACTTAATCTACAGATATTACGGTAATCGATTTCCAAACACTCATCCACCATCGATCATTCTTTGTTTTGACGATTCACAATCCGATCAAATCCTCATCATTTACACGGAAATGGAAGGGGAAAAGTTCGTGATTTGAAAGAAAAAACAAAGAGCCGACTTTTCCAGAGAAATCCAATTCGGATCAGTGAGCATTTCGGTGATAAAGAACACAAAGAAAATGCTAAATAATAAAAAAGATGAAGAAATAAAAGGACTTCGAGTTTATTTGAATGAAGGAAATCTTGGTGGATATTGTCATATCATTCAGGTAATGGAATAACTCATTCAGCCAATGGCTAGACTTCAGATTGAGAATCTCAAACAAGGAAAGGACGCTTTTGCCCCACATTTCATCTATCTAGAAGATGCGGAGAAGGAAGATGATTGTAAGTACTCAATTTTAGCTTTGATTCTTTGTGCGCTTGCGTAAACCATCGCTTTCTATACATTCTAGACAGTAAAACGAAATAAATTAGAACTTTTTTTGTGACCCAAAACACTTTTAATCCTTTTCAAATCATGCCTTTAAATTTTTCTAATCTTTAGGCAAAAATTGGCTCTTCAAATCCAGACCTCAAGTAATTCTTCGAAGAAATGAAGTGAATCCGTTATTTGGAAAGACTCGGTGTGTAAAAAGGAGGTTTAATTAAAAGGAATTTAGTCTACTGTAAGCTTTAGGGTGATCAAAGGTCTACTGTAATCTCTAGAGTGATCAAGAGTCTACTGTAGTCTCTAGAGTGATCAAAAGTCTACTGTAATCTCTAAGAGTAATCAAAAGTCTACTGTAATCTTTAGAGTGATCAAAAAGTTCCCGTACAACTTTTTACTAAACCCTGTAGTAAAAGCTGACTGAAACTGATTCTTTTCTATGTTTTTTTCACCCTTTTTTCAGAATGTTCAATCGTCATCGCATTTGTGACGTGAAACCACAAAAAGAATATGATCTCTCGAGGTCATTTATGAGAATCGATATTTCAAGAGATCATTCAGGAGATGAACCACAAGAAGGGTAAGAAAAGAAAAGAAATTTGAGCATTAAAAGAACTTCAACTTCAGTGAAACCGAAGACGATGAAATCCCATGTAAACGACGAAATCAGGAAGCCAAATCAGAATCACCAATTACTCAGCCATCATCCACGCCTGCACTCTACAATTCGACAACCGAATCGGATTGTGGTTAGAATTATTCAGAGGCTGTTCAGGCTGAGGCTGTTCAGGCTGAGGCTGTTCAGGCTGAGGCTGTTCAGGCTGAGGCTGTTCAGGCTGAGGCTGTTCAGGCTGAGGCTGTTCAGGCTGAGGCTGTTCAGGCTGAGGCTGTTCAGGCTGAGGCTGTTCAGGCTGAGGCTGTTCAGAAATCCTTTTCATTTCCTTTAAAACCAGCAAGAATTAAAGGCCAAATTGACTTAAAAAGATGGAAAATTGAAGAAGAAACACTTTTTATTTAGAGGAAACCATAGGTTAATTGATGAATTTGTTATTTTTGGTGAATTCCCGGTTGTAGGTGAAGACTGGTGGCAAGGAAAATGAACGAAAAGACTTTCTTGATAGCCTAACAGTTTTTTGTTGTATTAAAACTAAATCTTGGAAACTAAATAATGTTTAGAAACTCTCTCAAATTCCATTGTCGAATCCCGTCCTGCGAGTGAATGGAATGATCCGGAGAAACCGGGTTCAAGTCGACTCCCGTGGATGGATGTGAGTTTGATGAAATCAAATGAATCAATCAATTCCAATTTAAATCTAAATTCAATTTATTCAATTCATTCAAATCTTCCAGTTGGTTGATGACATCTATTTGGAGGTGAAAGCGTTGAAAGATCTCGATTCAAATCATTTGTCATTTCCACAATTCGCTGATGCATTTATGTTAAGAACGATCATCAAGAAAGCCAGGTATGGAAAAGGATTTAAACGAATGATTTAAGAACGTCAGGATGATTTACAAGATTTACAAGGCCGTCTTTCACGATCAAACACCAGAAATCGTTCGAGAACCACTTCCAGTGAGTGTTAATAACTCTCAAAACCGAAAACAAGTTGTAGGTGAATTCCCGGCAAGCTATTCCCAGTCAAGCATTGCTCAAGGTTTATATATAAACTAGATAATTTGATTGAATTATTATATTCAGTGAGTACTTCACCGAGTATCTCTAGCCTTTCACAAACAACTGATATTCATGGATCGTTTCAAGCAAAGTGGGATAGCTATCGGTGTTTTAAATTCTGAATTATTTTAGAGAATTCGATGACGATAATGAAGACAATGGTCCAATTCATTTCTGATAACCATTAAACATTTGTTTTTTGATTTTGTTTCTTTTTGATTTTTGTTGAATCTCAAGAGTGATCTGATTTTGTTTCCCATTTCAATAAATGTCAAAATAGATCTAATAATATTGGGTTGGTCAATTGAGAACTGCGGCGCTTTGAACTAAAATTTATTGAACATAAAACCATGAATTCATTCCAAATAATTTCCATTATTATTGACGACTTCTGCCTATTTTACAGGCAATTTGCGGATACCTCTTTCATAGTAGGATTTTGGTTTTGAATCGAAAAACTTTCAAAGCCAATTTTTGACTGCTTCTTCCGAATTGAAGTGTTCTCCCGCAAGCTCATTACTCATGATCCGGAATAAATAGTAATCAAAAGGGGCGAGGTCCGGACTGTATGGGGAATGCGCCAAAAGCTCCCAAACAAGGTCATTTATTTTAAAGCGAGTCAGTTTTGCAACATGAGGGCGCGCGTTGTCGTGGATGCTCTGGAACGTGGAACGATCTTTGACTTGGAGGGCCTATTCTTCTTCAGGGATTCATTCACCTTTCCCAACTGTTCACTGTATTTGATTGCATTAACGGTCGTCATTAACGGCATTAGCGGCCCATTTTACAGGCAATTTGCGGATTCCTCTTTCGTAGTAGGGCTTTGGTTTGTGTGTGAGACAAGTGTGAGACTCAAGAATGGAGGACTGGAGATGTCAGCTGTCAGCCCAGTTTGAGCACTCTCTTCAAAAGAAACCCATTTTGGTGTCAATAGAAAAGTTGTAGAGAATCAAAAATTAGGCTTATAGCCAAATTTCCAGAAAGATACACTTAGTAGTTGCGCTTAAAATGCAAGTTTTGTGAAAATCTGGCATTTCTTTTGTGTAAATTTGGGATTTCTTGAGAACCAGTTTTTGAATCGTTCTGAAAATTTGGATATAAGCTTGATTTTTGATTCTCTACAACTTTTCCAGTGACACCAAAATGGGTTTCTTTTGAAGAAAGTGCTCAAACTGTTACATATGACAATAGCCCGCAGTTTATAATTCACCAACCCAATATAATGTGATTTCTGAAGAAATTAGAGGATTTTTAAAGATTTCACAAACTATTTTCAAGAAAAAACCGCACCAGACTTAAATTTTCGTGTGGAAGTTGGTTGTAAAATTAAAAAGAACAATATGGGTATGAAGCTTTTGACTTTCAAGCAAGTTCCACGTCTTCAAAAGTTCACAGATTTGCACACTCACACTTTTTCAACCAAGCACAAGGAAATTTTAACGTCAAAAAGAATGATTTCGATTTCCATTTGATTTTCTTAAAATCTCCCACTTTCCCGTAATGATTCAGTGTCAAAAAGAGAACTGTGAAATGATAAGAAAGGGGAAATCAAGGGAAAAGTTCGACAAATAATACCAGGAATAGATATTCAGGGAATTAAGGTTATAAAAAGTAAAGAAAGATTATAAAATGAGCAATCTTTAGAAGTTAGTCTTCTTAAACTAGAAAATAGAAGATCTTGAAGAGATTTGAAAGTTTTTCTCATTTTCAAACGGTTATTTATGGACGATTTTGAAGAACCGATCTATTCTCATCGATTCAAATCTGATCCAGATCTGGAATCTGATCTGGAATGGTTTGTTTAAAAAGATTTTAATGGATAATGTAAATTTTAGCTTATAAATTTAAGAAAATAGATTGATTTCTTAGATTTCCATGGCGAATTTTAATTGAAATCAACTTTTAGTCAATCTAAAGTCAATCTAAAGTCAATCTTTTTAGTCAATCTGATCGAAAAGCAGTTCATCTCATTGTTGGATTCATTCTTGTACTTGCTCTCGGAGCTGTCACCATATCCGGATACTCAATGTACTATTTTTTAACATATAGCTAAATTCTTGATTAAAATTTAACAAGAATTCCTTTAGAATTTAACAAGAATTCCTTTAGAATTCATCAATTCGAACAATCCGAGTTGCCCTATGTGGAGAAACCATATCCGGATGTTCATCCTCAAACTTATAATGAGAGTAGAAGTCTGGAGGCTTTGTAAGTTATCAAAAACTAGAATATTTGTTGAAATATCGTTTTACAATTGAATTTCTTAATAAAATCAATTTTCAGACAAGAGATGAATGCCGAAAGAATAGCTGGCACTTGTGCAAAGAGTTGGCACTACGATGTGAAACATCAAATGTGTTATAAGGTGTAAGATCTAATCTAATAACTAATCTAATCTAGTAACTAATCTAATCTAGAATATAATATTATCGATTAGCTTCTAAAATAATCTAAAAAATTGTTATTTAAGTTTTTCTTTTTTCTAGAAAATCTACAACGTCGCTTATGATGATGCGTTGCGGAGATGCGCTCGAATGGGAGCACACATTGTTAAGATTGACAATCAGCAGAAGAATTCGATTATTAGAGGTTAATTATTGAATTTGCATTATTTAGATTAGTAGAATGGAGCACTAAGTTCAAGATAAAGAGCTTTTTTAGAGTTCACAAGTTCCGGATTCCCGAATGATCTCAAATCGGGAAACGTGTTGCTTGGAGCCAGGAAAAAGGTGAAAAAAAAGACATTAACTTCTTGTCTTTATATAGATAACATACCTTTCCAGAGAACCGACTTTGTTTGGGATGATGGTAGTCAATTTTCCTATCATCGATGGGCGGAGAATGAGCCGAATAATCGATTGGGAGTTGAGGCGTGCATAGCGGTTAGTTGCTTCATAATAATAGTCTTAAAATCTGTCTTGCTTTTAAGAATCTGACTCTAAGAATTCAATTTCAGATGTACAGTGATCCAATAATCGGTTTGGAAAGTTTGAGCGATGATTATATTTCTCGATGGAATGATGTCCCTTGTGATCAAACACAACGAATTACTGTTTGCGAAAAAAGGGCACAGATTCAAAATTGAATTAGGAATTGGTTAGGAATTGTTGTAGTAAGATTTGTGAGACTTTTTCGTTATACATTGTTATAAATGGTGGAATGCAAATTTTGCGAATGTACAGCGCGACCAAGAATTATCGCAGCACACAAAAGGCCTGGCTTTTAACCAAATTAACCATTAACCAAAGCAACCCATCTCGAAAAGTTAACTTAAATATCTTTCCTCAACATATAACAGTAACAAATTAGCAATTAAATCCAAATTTTCCTCCATCGGCATTCAGATAGGCCTGCAAACGTTTGAGAAACACGTTGACCGTGGCGAGCAAATAGGCATCATTGAGGGTATCCCATGCTTTGATCAGCGCCTTCTTCAAACTTTCCATATTTTTATGTGGTTTTGCACATGCCCTGGCTTCAAGAACACTCCAGACTGAGTAATCCAATGGGTTAAGGTCGGGTGAGCTGGGTGGCCACTCAGAAAGCGAGATGAAGTCCGGGAAGGTCTTTGAACAAAACTAATAGTAATTGAAATTTGTCCTTCTTGTACGGCTTCATTTTCAGCTTTTTCTTGATGATTGTGTTGACGGAGATTCTTCCCGTATTTTGGCTACAAATAATTGAGTATAACCCATAGGAACCAAAATTATTGGCAAAATTAAAGTGGGGGGTATTAATCGCGGCCGGGTAACCATAAAAATTTTTTTACGTTTATTGTAAACCCATCAAATCACTCTAGCCGGGTGATTTTTATTCTTTTTATAATAAAATCAGCGATATTAAAATAAAAAAACAGGTGGTTGCCGTAAAAAAATTTTTATCGTCACCCGGCCGCGATTAATACCGCCACAACGAGTACGTAGTTTGAAAGAAACTGTCTTCAAATCAAAAATCTAAGCACTAGCAATTCTTAAATGATGTCCAACTAAGAGAAAAAATCCAAAAAGAATCGATTTCGACTTGTCAATTTTTTGTTGATAGGTCGAGAAATTTTGTCTTTTGACCTAATCAACTCTCCTAAGATATCCCAGTTGCAATTATTCAAATTCCACTTTCCTGGGCAATTTAGATTCCAAAAAACACACTTTCAGCACGATTTGACGACGGTATCGCGATGAAAAGTGACTTTGAAAATTTCTAGGTTTCAACTTTGGTGTTCAGAAGGGCAAAAACCTGAATAAAATAGAAAGCATATAGAAAAACTACTACCATCGTGTAGAGCTCAACCTGAGCTTTCAGAATACATAACACTTATGGGTTCTGTCGAGTACTTCTGTAGATATGGCGTATCAAAGTTGGTGAACTCCATGGCCAGCACCGTTGATGCTTCTCGCTCGGGTCGATGCCTAACCCATTCGTGGAAGGCGGCGCCCGGAGCCATGGGCTGGCCCGGGTCGATTGTACGAACAGCCCCGAGCAGCATAAAACCGAAAGGTTGACCGAAAGGATGTTGTGGAAAGACCCACAGTCTCCCGTGAGGGATACCGCTGAAGTTTGTGGAATCGCTACTATTTCGCACTGCCACCCGTGGAGGGAGGCAGAATGGTCTGTTGCTCGTAACCGGATTACAATTATGCTCCCTTTGGGCTCCGGCTTCCGTCAGCTGTCCGCTACTCGACAGTCGTCTAGATGGCGGGAGTTTGGACACCCCATTGGAGGAACCGCGAGGTTCTTAAACCGACTGGGGATCAGATCAATCCCTTTTAGCATCAACAAAGTGTAACTTCGGAGCATTCTCCTACTTACGCTGCGCGCACCTTAGCAAGCTGAGCATTCTTGCTGCGGGAGTCGGTGCCATCGCCAAGGACCAGACGTGGACCTCGGATCCCAAGAGTCTTCGGACTACAGGGTGGCGGAGTGCGAAGTCCAGCCACCTCCTCGTGGTGCACTCTGGGCACTTCCTCGAAACAGGAAGTGGCGAAGAGCTGGACAAAAAAGGGAACGAACTTTTGGAAAAGTTCGAAAACTTTGAAAAAATTTAAAGCTTTGACCCTTTAAGTCTTTGAAAAAGCTTTAGTTTTTCAAAAAACTTCAAAAAAAGTTTTTTTCTTTCAGAGGATTTCTTTTTGTCTTTTTCTAAGTCAGAGAGAATCCAAAATAAGACTTTCTGGACAGCCTAACATTTGTACTTGGTTTCTCTATTGACGAGGTGCTCTTGGTCACCCTGTAGAATGAGATGTGATTTGAGCTTACAATTAACAACAATACCCAGAGACCAAACTAAATTATGGAATGTTTGAAGTAATCAGATGTATAGGGGAATTGATCGGGGATTGATTTTTGCGGATTTCTAACGGAAAAGAACCAGATTTGTTTGTAAGTATTGAAAACATTTTGTTGTTGATAATCTTTATTCGAAAAAGATTCGTTCAAACATTCGTTTGTGCTTTATCTCTGCTATTTGGTGTTTCCTCGTCATTGGAGGCATTGATCTTTCTGAAATTGGAATCTTTTCAAATTAAAGGACAGCATTTTTCGAATATCAATGAATATCTTTGTACTTTATCTAAAACTGTACCACATTCTATTGGCGGATTCATTTATTGACTTACTTTAAATATTTATAGAATGCCCATTTCGGGTTGGTGAGTTTCCAGTAGCAAAATAAGCTAAAAGACGAAAAATTGTTCTAAAAAGGAAAAGCGATACGTGGCGACACCAAGATAATTTCCCCTCGAAGTTGTAATCGGAATGCCAAAACGGATATTAATAAGTTGAGCATAAAAAGCAACTAAAGTTAATAGTTGTCATTGTAATAAGAAATAATGGAGTATTTTTGTTAAATCTTTCTTTTTTGTCAACCTTTTAGTAGCAAGTATACTGTAAAGCCATTGTTTTTAGAAAATTAAGCATTTTTTACCTATAGAACATCGTTGTTAATGTTGTTAAAGATGAAAGAACTTTTGTCGATCTGATAAGACCCTGATAAGACTCCTGATAAGACCCTGCTAAGACCCTGATAAGACCCTGCTAAGACCCTGATAAGACTCTTGATATCATTTCAAAACTCTTTGAACTTCTAAGGGATTCATTCAAGGAAAAGCACTAAAGAATTTCAAGTTTCTAGTTCCAAATACAGTAATCTAAAGGAATAAATTTTAGTTCAAAGTCTCGCAGTTTTCCCATGAAATGATCCCAACTCTTAATTATTTTGACTGCTATTTAGGGCGGTCATTTTCCACTATATAGTCAAAACCGAATTCTTGTGAATGTGGGGTTTTCGAAGAGTGCCCTTTTTTGGTCAAATCTTCAATTTTGGGAAGCTAACTCTATTTTGACGACACTAAACTTGTCCCTAAAGTGACTCGATTCCATTTTTGGTCACACGCATTTCACCCTCGCAAATTTCTTGAATGGTTCGATCAATTGAAACACGTTTTAGCCTATTTTCTAGAGGAGATTTACAACTTTCGTTTACAACATTCATAATAGTTTATAACATTCATCGATTTCAGGTTTCTATCGTTGAAAATTTATGAAAATGTTAAAATCCGCATTTCTTATGCATGTACCTAATAAAAGAAGTTTTATGATTGAATGATTGAAATCAATGATGATTGAATGCCTTATACCTGAAGCAAGAATTGTCAAATCGTATTTTCCTTTGATTTCCGGTAGCCAATGACTAAAGAATTTTTGTTACAAGAAGAAAAAGAAAAGCAGAAGAAGAAGAAGAAAAGAAGAAGAAAAGCAGACTGGTTATTGAAAAGTACGAGAACTTATCAAAATCTCTTCTCCAACTCACTCATACGCAGCTCCAAAGACAGCTCCAGTCATTCCAACAACCATTACACATTCAAAAGCCTAAATTACATCCGAATTTTGTCATTTTCTTTATTCTTTACAAAGAGAATCCAATGGATTAACAGAAAAATCGATCTCATTGTGAAGAGAGCTAAAATAACGGGAATAATCGGTATAAACATTAGAGAAATGACGGTGATCTGAAAGAAAACTATAGAAAATTGTTTTAAAACGATAGGAATTGTTTTGTTTTGATTGTTTTAAAAGTTTATACCGTAATTGCATTGTTTGCTTGAGAGGTGAGAGCGAAAATTAGACACATTGAGAGCCAAAATATCTCAAAGATTGTTATCACTATCGTTGCTGTCTGAAAATTCTATTGATACCAAAAACAATGCAAAACAAAGCAATCCTTATCGACATCTAATAAAATACCTTAGCTTTCATTTTCCCACAACAACAGCAATTGTATTCATCATTTTCTACTCCATTTTCTTTACAATATGGAAGACAACACATTCTGGGATAAAAAAATTAAAAAAGAGAACTTTTTAAACAATTTTCAGGAAAGTAAAGGAAAAAATGATCAATTTATTTGAAAAAATGATCAAGGAATCGTTCGTTTTTTTGAAAAATCAAGGTCATTTAGGGATTTTGGATTGGATATTTAGCGATTTTCTTGTTGGGGAGATAGAGTAAAAGTTCCTATCAATAAAATTGATCATTCAATTGATAAAAGAGAGCAATTTTTGTGTTGTGATTTACAAGAAATCACGATTTATTTATTTCCAAACAATTAAACACAATAATTTCAAAAATTTATAAAAACGAAACGCTCAAAAGAAAAACAATGCTTACAAGGGAACGTTTTAAAGAAATTTTGAGACTTTTAAACGAGACTGAGACTTTAAACGAGATTGTGAGCGATGTGGTGCAAATGAGATGTCATTTTCCTGAGTTCATTCCATTCCTCGTTTTCGAATTTGTACAGTCACAGATTTTGGTGACATTGTTGTCCAACCTTGGAGTTGGAGTTCTTTCTAAATTCGATTGAAAGAGACAAGCTATTTCTCTGACCTCCGTTTCCGGTCCAGCAACAATATCATATTTTCTCAACAATGCTGCGAAAGCCATTCGTTGTTCCAAGTAAGCCAGACGCATGCCTAGAACAAGTTGGTTACGTTGAGCGTTTAGGAACTTCTTGTATCTTGTAACAGCTGTATCTTTTAACAGCTGTATCTTGTAGCTAACAGGGTACAGTATACGGTCCAGTACTGT